TGCAGGCGCAAATTTATTTGCCGCAGTCGACGTCGACGGCGCTGCGGATGGTGCTGCCTGCGAGCGGCTGCCATTGTCGCTGCTGTTGTGGTGAGCTTGCGCTGCTGTGTGGACAAGCTGTGGTGAGTTCATTTTGTTTACACGTGCTGACGATCAACAGAGCGCGGGAGAGTGGTTGTTAAAGAGAGAGTGTGTGTGAGAAACAGCGAGAGAGAGAGCGAGCTCATGCGGCGTATGCGCGATTTGCTGTTGTTTTTATCAATGAATTGTTGTGGTAGTTGTTGTTGTCGTTTTTGTTATTGTGTAGCTGTGTGCATTTTTTCATTCAGCCAGGCGCGTGGTTGCAGTTTCATAATTACATAAAGAAAAACGTTTTACACAGAAAAATTTAATGTGCCTTTACTTTGGTCACTGTTGTATTTTTTTTTATTTTTGATTACTGCCGCGCACACAAATTAAAACGTTACACATGTCGACAAAATGAGTTGTTTTGTTGCTGTAACTTAATAAATTGCATTCGTACACCTTCGATGCAAGAAAAAAAAGCTACAATTGTGGCTGCGGACGTGCCTCTGTCTGACCCACTTTCTGACTGCAATCGCGGCGACTTTGGTCTCAACGCAAATTGCAGCCAACACCTTCTTTATTTATTGTTAATATTTATTTTCGGTCTTTTTGTTGTGTTTCGTTTCAATTGCTTTGCCATGCGCGACTTTTAAATATATATATGTATAGCGTGTACATATAAAATATTTTTATGTTTATTTTTTGCTGAACTTGAGCTTTACGTGTTCGGCGACTTAATTCCAGACACTGATTGTGAGACCGCGACACTGACACCATCGAGTTGCGCCTTTTGAGTTTTTCGTGACTCGTCTTTGCTGTTGCTGTTGTTGTTGTTGCTGTAGATGCGTGGGAGCTGCCATAATAGGCCACATGCCATTTAATGGCGTGTTTAATCTGTAATACAAAAAAAGAGGCAAAAACAATTTTAGTTTAAATTGCACACACACTCAGAACAATACTTGGAACCCATTAATGAATCATTTCAAAATAATAATAAAAAAGGCGAGCCGAATGCCAAAGTCAACTCATGAATACCCTGCATGGAAGCTACTAACTAAAATAAATCAATCATTTCTATGGCAGCTCGTATGATATATGTAGATTACAGAAAGGATAAATCATCACATTATGGTGAGGTAGTATGAAGTAGTATGAAAAGGATTTAGTACTCACACTAAGGTTGAATTCTGCACCGATTGTTCCTATGGGATAAGGCACCGATTTTGATAATACTTTTAATTGGAGACATTACAAAAACTTATAAATACCAAATTTTATTAACATACCTTTATGAACAAAACATTTTCAAGACAAAGTCTAAATTCTAAAGCGATCATTTCTATGGCATCCATATTAAGCCCTGCACTGATTTTAATGAAACTGTAGAATTTGCTCAAGATATTTGTACGATACTCAGAGTTATTTTTACACCAATGAAACAATGATACTGCATATGATAAGGATATAGGATAAGACTAGTCCATTTGGTCCCAGCTCAAAAAATTCAAAAGTTATCTGCATTCATACACAACTGGACAGAATTATAGGTGAGAGAACATTTTTTTTTTTTTTTTCAAAAAAGCTTGCCTTTCATATATATTCTAATTTGCACGAACATGTCTCTATCATTCGCATACTTTGTGGTACATAGGGTATAAAAAAAAGTGCGTCGGCTGTTATTAATGGAAAATAGACATTTTGGGTGACTGCCTGTGAATGTGCCACAGCTGTTGAGTGCACAAAACTTCACTCAGCTTAAACATTTTAATGCAAATGTGTGTATAAGTATGCGACTGACTAATGATTTTCGTCTATATTTGGCTTCAGATTGCAATCGATGGCTCTTGGATGGCACTCGAAAAGATATCCATTGTGATTAAGTTGTTGTGTATTTCGTTTATAGTGGGTTGTTGAAAAGAGTGGGCAATAATTTAAATAATTTGTATGGCTAATTTGCGAATGAGGAAAGATTTATCTAGATACCGTCTTTTGTTAAATGCTACTCTTTGGCAGCTGTGAAATATTAATGTGCTGCTTTTTGGGCAAAAATAGTTGTTTTCTTTAAGAACTAACTACGTATTTAGATGTAAGCAATGTCTTTTGTATATTCTAAGCACATTTTTAGGAATTTAAAATTAATGATATGCCAATTAATATTAACATTAAATAATTTGGCTTAAACAAAACGCCCGAAATTGCAAATCTAAAATTATGTCCTACTCTCATGAAAAACAAATGCACAATTATAGTATAATTAGAAGCATTTAAAATTTAAAAAATGTTCCTATTTGCTGCTTTTATATAAGTATATAATTCATTATTCTAAATAAATGCAATACAAAACATATGCTTAAAATACTGTAAAATGAACGAATTGACTAAGGAAAAGGAAAACTTCCAATACATCTACGCATTACTGTTGAAAAATTAATTTACAATTATTGTTTTAAATAATTAAAAATAATAAATAAATTAAAATATTTATTTAATATTCTGGCGATGTAGAGAACATGTATATAAGCTGGCCAATCGAAACAGTTGAAGATATTGGCTTGTAAATCAAGAATTAAATAAAAACTGACAACTCTCTTACGAAAAATGAACACAAAAGTGTTCAAAAGCTTTGCTTAAATATTAGTGTAGCGTTCTTTGAATAGTTTCAGTTTTTTAATTATTAGCTCTTAAGGTTAAAATCAAATTGCAAGCATAGCTTTGGTTACTTTTATTATTACGCAACCACAGAACTATCTAGGTTTTGGGCAAAAGATTAGCACTCAATTAAAAATACATCCTAATAAGTTATTCAATCCCAATTCAATCAAGACTAAGGGCGCAGGTTGTTCTTCCCAGATTCAAAAGGTGATCTCTAAAAACGCTTTAAAGCTGTCAATCGACATTTGCACATCACAAAAATAGCGATACATCGGCTATCGATGAATATTTTAACAGAATGCAGCGATTGCGATTTTTTCATCGATATTTGCGTACAACAACGGCCATTTGTAAACGCTTATTGGTTAAGTTGGTTTTATTCTGCATGAGGCAATTATTTTGTGGTTTTTATTTGAATATTATTCTAAAAGCTACTTTTAAGATCAAAAGATCGAAAAACTCAAATATATTGCTATTGAAAAGTTATGAGATATGTCCCCATTTATCCATTTCGATAGAGATCGGGAACTGGAACAGGCTTTATCTTCATACCCACTAACAAACACATCTAGCCAATAATAACGACAATTTAAAACACATTTAACTAAATTTTTTAACAAAAAATCTGTGCATATTATTAACCTAAATAGCAATACTCAATTTTCACTTCTCACTTGCAATTGGAATTGCAATCAATCGATTTGTCCGCATTGCCAGCGACAAGAGTGACATCTAATTAGTGGCCTGTCCGATGAGTGAACTGATTGATCAGATCGCTGCTGATTGATCATAAGATGGCAAGTGTCATGTTCAATTGTCAAGTGTCTGGCAATGGGGCGACTTTTAACTGAGCATGCTCGAATATCTATATTTTAATGAGCGGAATTGTGTGGTTGGCTTTAAATGCAAAAAGCTGTCAGATTAATTTCCTTTGAAGTGCATGCAGCCTGCAACTAATTGGCGTGCGTCGGCCAACTAATTTGCATAACAAAATATGCTAAAATAAAAGCTGTAGCGATTTTTGTGCCGTGAAAAGCCGCCGACCTCAGACGGCATCAGCTTTGCCTTAAATAGTTAAATTTCTTGCATATTTGCACTCGCACTTACAATGAAATGCAATTATGCAAATGGGAACGAACAAATAAAACCAGTATGGAGAACTTTACATTTTCAGTGGAGAAGCGCGCAAATCTTCAAAAATGCTGGCATTGAAGGCACTTCAAAATTAATAGCAGGCTATTAATCAAACACACATAGTCAGCGTATTAATTCGAAATGGGGCGTGGCTAATGATAAATTGTCTGCCAGTCGGGCCGTCCTTCACATTTAACTCATTCTGAGCAGTTGTGGGTCAAGTTCGTGAAGCATTTTCAGTTTTGGGCCGGAGTTTTCCAAACTCCCCCTCTAACTATTGTAATTATTAAAGTTAAATGGTTTTTAATATATATGTATGTATTTACGTAAATGAAAAATTATATACTATAAATAAGAAAGAGCACCTGACATGTTAGGTCTCTTCTCTTGATAAAGTCGCTCTTTTCAGCCATCTCCGGAACCTCTGACCGGGAATGGCTGTAAGGCGGGACTGTATAATAAATATTGCACCAAGCAGGTCTGATATTCTAATTTACTTGATCTCGAAAACAAAAGAAAGTAAAATAGATCCAATAGAAATAGATCCATATTCTCCACATAGGTACAGAGTATTTCAAAGTCGGGAGTCATGACTTTAAAAATGTTGTTTTTTTTAAATTTTATTTTTTAATTTTACTTTTTAAAAATTAGCTTTTAACTGATTATAAGCTTCTGTTCTCTTTTAAGTTTTTTCTTTAGCTTCAGCTTTTATTTTCCTTTTATTTGGTAGATCTATTCTGACGCTTCTGACTACACTTGGCTGGGAGTCGTGGCATAACTAGGCGAAAGGCAAATACTTTTTATCACTATTTATCATTGTAATTTGATTAGATTTCTCCTACTTAGACTTTCCTAGCTTATACGGCATTTTTTAAACTTTTCTTTTGTTTCCTTATATCGACATTGATTGTTTGTTGACCTAAAAATATAATAAATATAACAAATACTAAAAAGATCAGCTAACCGATCAACGATTTAAATATTTAAAAAATCTAAATCCATTTGTCAAATTACTTCCGCCACTTTTCACCACTGGCAGTCAACTGTGATCTAGCTGTCTTAGAAACCCTTTGTTTGATAGCTCAAAGGAAAATTATTTGTTTTCTGTCAAGGCAACACGTATTTGTATCAATTTAATATTTTTAATATACAATGAGGCACCAAGACAAAATAATATCCTTCAGTCACAAGTCAAAACAGGTAAGACCCATGTACAATATAGCGGCAAATAAGAAATCGCACTCAGTTGTAAATTTCCGCAGAGCAAGTATAAAAAGAATCAGATATTGATGCCACTCTTCAAGTGCATCGAATGGAATTATTTTGCGGCAGATTTAACGCAAAACTGGTATATGATTCGACTCTTAAAACGGCCATTGGGAATGCGTCGTCTGTTCTTTAATGTAACGCGGTTTCCAAGCCTGATAGGCTCCGTGCTGAGAACTTCGATGAGGCACCACTGGCATACCTTTTTCTTTCTGGCCAGTCCACGGGAATTTCATTGGTGGCGTTTTCAGTTTCCCATGTATCCCATGTGCGTCTATATGGGTGGTGCTTCCCAGCGATCGAAGTCAAGGTCGAGGGCATTAAAGGTTGAACCATTGGTAAGAAAAGAACGCAGGCTGTTGGAATTGCAGCAGCGGATACAGAAAATGGGAGCCGCGCTGTTGCCCTCCATGAATAAAGTGAAGCCCCTCGATTCAAAAACTCAACATAGAAATATAATAAACTAAATCCTCAACAGCTGAGTAAGCTGATATTCAATTGTCCTGTATCTGTAAACTACTTTATATTTTGGTTTATAGTTTTTGTTGTTTGCTTGCCACGCCCCACGCCCCAAGCTCACTATGAAGGAACTCAATTTTAAAATCGAAGAACTGAAGTCCTTCCAAGAGCTTACCGACAAGGATCAGTTGCACACCTACCAGAGCTTTCTCCGGGAAGAGTTGGAAGAGCGGAATGTGGAGCACAAATACTTGAAACGCACCGCGCAGATCATGAAACGCGGCAATGATGAGTTTCTCTTCAATGAATGCTATATGATCTTCGACGAGTATATGCTGACCGAGAAGTATAGCTCCCTGGTCTTTAGTCTCTGCGGCATAACCCACCATTTTCATTTTGTGCTCTACATAAATGTAATGGACACTACCAAGGTGGAGGACCGCGCCCAATTCGTGGCCAACATTTTGGGAAATCTGCTTGCCGTTGAGGTGCCAAAGCTGAAGAGATTCCCGCTGAAGTTCATCATGAGTCGGGACAACGAATTGGCCAATCAGGCTCTGGATATATTTGCGAATTCGAAGAAGACCAGCCATCTCTTTAATGCGTTTCTGTTTGTGCGCGAGCCGCGGGATGTACAGGAAGCACAGCTAACCGATCCCTACACACAGGAGGCCTTCGCCGAGATAATGCACAGCACGATATCGGAAACAAACATTCGGGAACTATTTAATCGGCATCTGGATAAGGCAGCCATCAAGGAGAACTATCCATTGCAACGCTTTGTCAGCGACTATCACATGTTGGCCAGGGACCTACTGGGCTCCAAAGAAACCATAAATCTCCGATTCTGCACCATGGAGCGCACCGACGACTTTCAGGACATTGTGCAGGAGAACCTCAAGCATTTCGGCGAAGGGATTATGTCGCGCATCTTTCTATTCGATTTGTTGCGCGCCATTATGATTATTTTCAATTACTAGCACAACACTCAGCACTCTTTGGACGTGGCAAGCAAACCAATTTTTCAAATCAAATTAAGAAAATTAACTGTTAAATGCAATTTAAATCAATAAATAAATGTATGGGGGCACGTATGCGCGTTTCGCTTTACATTTGGTCGCCACAACGCTCTGCCCTGCCTTGTATTGACGTTTTGGCGCGAGACCGTTACGAGTCAGGATGGCCGAGTGGTCTAAGGCGCTGCGTTCAGGTCGCAGTCTACTTCTGTAGGCGTGGGTTCGAATCCCACTTCTGACAAGAACTTTTTCTTTTTTTCACCTTTTAAGTAACAGTTCCCATGTTTAAATATTTTCATGGAATAATTTTATAGTTAAATAATACCACTTAAAAGTCGCACCTAGTATTTGTCAAATTCGATTTTTAATTTAAATAGTTGATTAATTTTCAGGATGAAAATGTTAATAAGAATAAATCAAACGCTTAATAACTTTTTATAAACTTATATTTGATCAGCATTTGTAATTCCATTATGTGTTGTACAAATTATAAAATTATTTACTATTTATTTTGTATTTCAATTGTTTTGTATATTTAATAACTTGTTTATTTTTGTTTGTTTTTATTTATATTTTATAATTGTTCTTTATTTTATATTTGTTTTTTGTTATGTATGTATTTGATTTTATTATGCCTACATTTTATTTTTTTATATTTTTTAAATATTTATTTTATAGTTTACCTTATTTTATTTTACATATTTAATGTACTTTTATTATTAAATTGTTTTATATTTGTTTGAATTTTATCTGTAAGTGTAGTTTTTGTAATACTTTATATTTGTACTTCTGGTAAATATTTATATATATTTAGTTTTTTTGTTGAATTTTTTATTGTGTTTTCATTTTATTTGTTTAAAATTAATATTTCTTACTTATTTATTTATTATTATTTTCAAGACAATTGAAAAGAATTATTTTCATTTGTTATTGAAAATTTTAGTTTAAATATTTGTATTTATCATACATACTTGTACCCATTTTCCTAATCTTCAATGTTATATAAAATATTTAAAAATCGTATTTTGAGTATGTATGGATGAGTATATTAAAGTGGTCTATATTTAATAATTCAACTAAGTTTTACCTGTTTGTAGTTCCAATGCCAAAAGATTATTTACGAACTCCGCATTGTTATCTCTGAGTTTGTTAACCCGCGCCATACGGCTAGCACTTAAAACCTTTTTAATGCCGCCAATTGACAATTTCACACGCTTTTCAGATTGATTTCAATTTCTTTCTCAATTGGCCGTGTAATAAAATTTCTCAAATCTTATCTGCGTTGCTTTTCAGTTGAGTTTTATGTGCTTGTTTAATGCCTCTGTCTGACAACGTTGGCATATCAAAATGGTCTGCCGTTGATACAAATGAGTCGAAAGGCCAGACATTAAAATGCATTATTGGCTAAAGGAAGAGCTTTGAAGGCATTTGCTGAATGCGAATTGTTCAGCTTAAATGCGCTTAATTATATACACAAGTCATACATCAAATGTTTGGCTACTTCTGCTTTGATGTGACAATAAATTTACTTTGTCTGCTTTATTTATTTATTTTTTTCCTCGCCTGTCCATTTTGCTGCCTACGCTGATTAATCAGAATGCGGTTGGCAGCTTGTTTAGATAATAACATAAGTAATACAAAAATAACAAACCGGTAACAAAATAAGTGAAGTTAACAAAGCTTGCAAAACAAAGTTGTAGTGCCGAGTCAGATTTCGGTTTTGTTGTAACTTCAAATCCGCTTGGATCTGCACAAAAACAGAACTGACCCAGACACAAAGCTGCAGTGGCATTGAGCCAGTGCCCCGAATATACATATTTAAAAAAAATATATATATAAGTATATAGAGCTGTATATATGTACTAAAGTGTGTCAACACCAGCGTCGACGAATTGTTTACCCGCACTTGATTAACAACAAATTGTGTCAGTTTTATATTTCCTGTTTGCTTCTCAGCCCCACCTCTTTCTATTCGATATTCGATATCTTTCAACTGCCTTCTTGATTCTACTCTAAGACTTAAATATTATTTCAATTTACATATTGACATTTGATAGTCGCAGTCGCAGTCGCAGTTGGTGAGCGGCTTTTGAAAATTCATTAAATGACTTTTTGATGCGATTTTAATGAACAGCAATTGCGTGGTAAATATTTTTTGCAATTGTTGTTCGTCTTGACGTTTGACCTATTTCTATGATTATAAATTAATACAATTATCAAGTGAACAAAAGCGAATTATTCGCTCACTCACACTCGAGAGCAAATGATAACAAATGAGAACAAAGGTATTCTCCTTTTTTTGCAAACCTCAGATCAGTATCAATTTAAAAAGCCTCTTCAAATATACTCTCTCTTTATATTTTTAATTTTTTGTTGTCTTTTTAAATTTTGTTAATTGTTTGTTACTGTTGCTTTTAGTGTGTTATTGTTATTTTTTTAATATTGTTTTTTGTTATTGATTTTTCTTTAATAATTGTTGTATGGTAATATTCGAAATTCAATGATAATGAACTTTTAAATGCGCTCGAATATAGTTTAAAAGATAAACATTTATCGTTGGCAAAATTATGATTTATTTTTCCATTCCGTCCATATGTGAGTTCAATGTCATATATTTTTGGATTTTCCGTATTATTGTTTATAATTTGAAGCATTTATACGTAAAACACGGACACAGTGAGTGAAATTCATTTGCATACCCATTTAGATAAACATATAATTTGCTCGAAATGCGAATGCAAAATTTACGCCGCAATAAATGGCCAGATACATCCAATAGATACGGGAAAATTAGAGACCGGCGGCATTAACTCAAAGCGAGTGTAGTACTTACTTGTACGAACAAAGAACTAACTATGCTTCAGATACAAAAGACGCTATTGTATTGGACAATTGGGAATATGGAAACTAGTTGACAAGCTACAAATTGAAAGTGCTCCCAATTTGAAATTTTCAAAAATTATATTGAATATTTTTGCATAATTATGACAAACATAGCGAGAACAAAACTCATTAAAATAGTTGAACAAAAATAAGTCACCAAAATTGCTTCAAAACGACAATAACAACAACAAAACACAAGCAACAAACTTGACAATGACATAAATAATAATTTAAAAAATTCTAAAAAAAACAAAACAAGACTTTTTGAAAAGCCACAAACAACAAAGCAACCGCCTCAGCTAATTACGAGGCTTAAGGGTGTGGAAAAGTTCCCAAGTCTGCGGTCAAGTTAACGCCCCACTGGCCCGTTGCTCATTTGTTGGCCAAGAACGCGGGCAGCTCAAATGTTGGCCCCATTTTTTTTTCCGTTCATAGAAATCTTGAGGCTAGCTGCCTCTTAATTTAGTTCGGCTGCTTATTTTCCAGTTAATCTTCAAATTAGTTTGGCTTTGTGTTCTGCCTCTATTCTAATGACGTCTGACTTTGAATTTCATAGCGATAGGATTTAACTACAAGTTGAAACAAGTTATAGATGCTAAGGCGGCTTAAAACAAAGTGCTAAGCAGCTCCAACAACAGATCGAATCAGTTTAATTCGCCATAATTGTGCCATAAAATTGTTGTTAACTCATTTAACAAAGATAGCTGCAAGCAAACTTTGATATTTGCCATTATTTGCAATTAGTTTTGTTGTAAATTTATAATTTGAACCATTAACATCGTGCGCCATGTGTGATTTATTCGGTTTTAGTCAATATTATAGGTTAACTTGTCAAGCTATAGCCTAAAAGCATTATCTCCTTCCGCATATGCAAATACAATGCATTCTGATTGCTCCGTCCAATGCAGCTACTACATATAATTAATAAAACGTGTCTTTATTCAACCACAATATAGTAATTAATTCCTAATACCCCGAGTGCCACAATTTCGTTTCTCATTCTGACTCGTCGCCATAAATGTATTTATAGCACCAGCAGAGGAGAAACCAACTGATTTCATTGACCGCATCGCCAGAGCATAAAACGTGCTTTGGTGCCAAACAAGCCAGCAGTCAGGATGGCCGAGTGGTCTAAGGCGCTGCGTTCAGGTCGCAGTCTACTTCTGTAGGCGTGGGTTCGAATCCCACTTCTGACAAGAGCTTTTTTGTATTTTTATTATTATGCATTTTTTTTCTCTAAATATTTCAAAACATTTATTTTGTTTATATCTTTTGCACGAGAAACGACTCCTACGATCTAACAAATAATTGCTCCATACTTAACGAAATTGTTAGTTCATTTGCTTTGTTTATAATTTGAATGTCAAGGCTTGGCTTGGTATTTAAAGAGCTTTATTTTTTAGAGTTTTCTCAAAACCGTTGTTCAGTGTTTTTTTAATTCCTAATTTTTTTTAGTTAGAAATGACTAAGTACTTTTTTTTATATTCTCAAGCTATTTTTGTATTTTTCAATTAATTATTGGTTTTTAAAAAATGTAACTATGTATTGTTGCTTTTCATTTAAACAATCACAGCATGACGTTTTTCAATTTTCTGCCAATATTTCCAAGGAAACTAAATGAAACTATTCTGCCAGTTTCTTTATTTACATTTTAATTCAACTAAGTACTATTTTCATAGTTTTTTTTTATATTTGTAGATTTTTTTTGCAACATTTTTATGCCCGTTTCTGTGTTTGCGATTATTTAGTAAAAATTTCTTTGAATTTATAAATTCTTCTATGCTTTCGATTATTTGGTAAGCATTTTTCTATAATTTCCTTGAATTGTTTCTATGCTTTCGATTATTTAGTAAAAATTTGCTATAATTTCTTCGAATTCATAATTTGCTTCTATGCTTTCGATTATTTAGTAAAAATTTTTCGAAGAAGAATCTGTTCTTTTTTTTCAACTTTTGTTTATTTTTATGTTACATCATTTTTTTTCAACTAATATACATAATTTAAATAATTTTAAATAATATATATCCTGATGTTTTTATTGTTTATTAGTGCGTTAAATATTCCTTTCTCCACCAACATTATCAAGTTATTCGTTAAATGGAATTCAATTGCAAAATTATTAAAAAATAATCTTCATATTATTTTCACATTGCGTCAAGTTTTCAGTTGGCGAATTTACTTCTA